GCCCGGAGCCACCTTGGCTTCCGCCGCCGCCACCGCCGCCACCGCCGCCGCGCCCGGCGCCGTGATCCCGTTGTGGTGGTTCACACTTCTTAACCCCCCCGCCCCCCGTGCCCCGTTTGTCATCGCCCTCGTTGTTTCCACGTGGCCGCCGCTGTCCCGCGGGTAGTATCTTCCCGCGGCCGGCTGCTGCTGCGGCTGCTGCTGCGACGACAAGCCGTTGTTGTTAATCGACGACGACGTTGACGCTGCCGCTGCAGTCGCTCTCGTCCGCATCGCCTCGGTGTGGCGCTGTGCCTCCGCCCTTGCCCTCATGCGCCCGCCGGCCGCGAGCCGCGAGGACTCCGCCGCCGCCGCCGCTCCCCGCGCACGCGCAGCGGCAACCACGGCCGACGGCCCGCTGGACAGCACGTCGAGGGTCGCCGGCGGGGACTCGTGCGACCACTCCGTGGCGGTGGCGGGGACAACGGGACCGCTTTCGTGTGGAGCTCGGCCAGCTGGGTTGTCGGCTTCGGCCCCAGCGCCGCTCCCGCTCAACACGCTGAACAGACTGCCCGCAGCGCTGCTGTCTGCTCCCCCTTTCCCAGGCAGCGGCGTCGCCCCCGCCGCCGCGTTCTCTGTTCCAGCTTTCGGCTGTGACTCTAGCACGGGTGGTGCTGGGTCCGCTACGGCACCGCCCCCGCTCAACACGCTGAACAGACTACTCGCAGCACTCGTCTCTGCTCCCCCTCCCCTACCCGCCACCGCCGCCACCGGCGCCGCCGCCGCTCCGCCGTTGGGCGAAGACTCGAGCACGGTGGGGGAGGGATGCTCCGGCGCCGCCGCCAATACTGCCGCGGGAGCCGCCTCTTCAACCACAAGGGTGCCGGGGCTGCCGGTGACGGTACCGATCTGCCGAGACTCGCTGAGCCGTTGCACTAGCTCCGCCTTCCTGAGGCTACCCGGCTTGCCCCCGCTCTCGCGGTACAGCAGCTTCAGCTCCGCGAGCTTCAGCTTGGCGAGGTCTTGCAGATCCGCCGGCGCCGCCGCAGTCGCGCCCAACGCTTCCCTTGCGTCGCCAACGGAGGCAGTAGCAGCCGCTTCCATCTTACCTGCTGCCTTGATGCCGCCGCCGCCGCCGCCGGTCTTCAACATGTACAGACTTCCTCCTCCTCCTGCTGCCCTCCCCTTGCCGCCCTGTTCCCAGCGGGAGCCCCGCCCGTGCGCAGCCGCGGCAACACCTCTACCCGCTCTTACCGGGAGGACTTCCCCCTCGCTCTCACGACCCCACGCGGCGGCGGCGGTGGCTAGCCGAGAGCGGTGACCAGCCGATTCACCGCGGCTGTCGTTGCAACCTCTTCGCCTTGCCGTCGCCCCCAGCAACCCCGCCCCGCAGGCCGACCTCCGCCTGCCGCTCCCGCCGCCGTCCCTATCCCTAGCTCCGCCTGCCGCCGCGGCGTGAAGGAAACAAGCGGGGGACCGGCTGCCGCTGCCGCCGCCGTCAGCGAGAAACGCGGTCGCCAGGGCGGAAGATTCCCCCGCGGTGTTGACGATCAGCGCCAAGAGGCACGTCCCTAACGCAGAGGCCGATCCGCACGCGGTCGGCGCGGCGGGCGGCGGTGGGCGGCGGCGATGTCGTCGTTGTTGTCTTATTCTGCTGCCGCTGTCAACAACAACGGCGGCGGCCGAGGGTAGGGGACGCATCCGCTTCTTTTGGACAAGAAAACGCGCGTCGTTGGTGTTTCCCTCCTTGCTCTCGGATCGCCGACCGCGGTTTCGTTCTCGACGGGTTCTCCTAGAGAGAGAGAGACAGAGAGAGAGAGGCGTTTCTCCCGGGAGGGTGGAGTGACTGAAGCGCCGCTGTGTAGCAGGGTTGCAGAAGCGGAAAGACGGGTGGGAAAGGGGGGGGGGGGGGTCGGGTCCGGCGATAAAAACGCCCACTGAAGACAGATACCCGGAAGTTCAACTTCACGGTGCGATGGTGTGCCAACTCACTCAAAGTTTACGCATGATGTCAACAGCCATGCTTGGGCCTGGACCTTGCACTACACGCTGTGTGCAGCTGCGGCAGCAGCTCTGGTATCCCGCTTGGCTGGGGGGTAAACTCGGGGAACGGTTCCGCAATACCGCGTGGTATCACAAGTGTAACACTGAGCAGGAAGAGTGCAAGTGTCAACGCGGCAACACATTCCCGGAGACTACATACATACAATCCGAAACTCATAAAATGGTGCAATATTTTAATTGAGAGCTGCTACACCGGGTGCCGCCGCGAGTCGCAGAGAAAATAGCATGCTCTCTGTAGGGCTGCTATGTAGGCAAACCTTATCGGTACTCCAGGCAGCCAACCGTTGTCTACACTATCCAACCGTTGTATTGCGCATAGAGAGAGGCCGAAGTGTTTGTTTCGTCTTCCTTGCTGCGAGCGGCACGATTTTAACGCCACCCCCAGAGGTCTGCTCCGCGAAGGGCAGCCTGGGTGCGTCCTACTGCGTGCACACTGCAGCTGAGAGTGCACAGCACAGCAGAGACGTTGTCAACATCAACCTTCCGTCGCGCACGTGTCGACCTACTGGCATTGCAGCTGCAAGGTTGTGTCTGATCAGTTCCTGCTCGCCAACGAGGAAGTTGCGGAGAGGAGAGCAGCCTTCGCGCAAGTTAGTCTGGTTCATTCACATATACCACAAATACTGCCGAAGCGCTTCTCCCTCACTACTGTACCAACGCCCTACATGTTTCCCTGTCAGGCGTACAAGGTGTCATGTGTGGGCGGCCATGTAACTGGTCTTTGCACGGTGGACGTGTGTTGAAGCACAATTTGAACCGTCAACAACGTAGAGCAAACCGACTCACCTGGCAACAAACGATGCAAGAGTCTCCACTACCCGTGTATTCCTAGAGCTATGTAGCTTCAGCAGTGGCTGCAGTGCGTGGAGAGGCAGATCAGAGGTAGCAGCTCCGCCTCCTGCAGCGGGCAGCCGTGCTTTTGTGCCGCTCCGCTCACACCCATGTACACCCTACCCTATCATTCGAACTCAAGCCTGCGTGCCCCCCGCTGGCCAGTGCCAAGGCCAGCGTTCCCCAGTCCCGAGCGACACAGGACCAGCAGTACATAGGGGTGCAAAGAGAGCTGGACTCCCGCTCGTGCAGGAAAGAGGGCCAACTTCGAGAAAGTCAGTAGTGGGCATCCCAGCAGCAACGCAGAACTTGAGCGGAAAGAGAGAGATATAACCCATAGACCAGCAAGCAAGGCCGAAAACAAGCTTTGTGGTAGCGGCAGAGTCGCCGTCCTCGCCATGTTGCCCAACTTCAGCAGGTGAGCACAGCAGCCAGCAACACCACAGAGGGATCCTTTTGTCGATCAGGATAGCACTGCCATGTCAATGGAATACCGACGCTCCTCAGAACGCGCTCAGGAAGGTGCAATATTTGTATGTCAGCATGCCACAGCAGCAGACTGCTGCGCAAGGACACACGGAAAGCAAACCTACAGCAGCGAAGGACCACCAGCGCGACAGCACTGCCGTGGCGGGAGTGTGCGCAGCGTTGAGGGTTGTGTTGAGCGCGCGAAACGAGAGACGAATGTGCGAATCTAAGGTCCGGCCTATTTTCTGCACGCCGGCGTCAGCGAACTTGTGTTACGAACAAACTTGACTTTTGTAGCATGAGGTGGAATGCGCCAGCAGTACATACTAACGGACACACCGCGTAGGATAGCGGCATCTCCACAGCAGACGGTGGCTGTTGAATTGGAACAGGGGGCGTCGTTTGGATGTGGCCATTGTTTAGCTATATCCGGATCGTGCCAAATGCTTCGCTGGTTTGGGAGTAGCGCCAGTGCAAAATCTAGAACAATAGTTCTGTTCGTACACACGCACACGCCTTTCTTCTCCACATTTTGAACATTTGAACATTCTGGAAATTTTCGCTGCGAAGTCGAAGCACGTGCTGTTGCAGGACGCAGGACCCATGCACCAGACCCTGATGCTTGGGGGTACGCATCGTACCCTCACATTGTCGTTCTTGCTCCACCTTTAGAAATATAGAAGTACTACAGTACTGCAACTTGTGCACCAGCCTCCTGTTGGCGTCCTCGACCTTTCATTGCCTTCATCGGCCGTACGGCTAGCAAGAACCTTGGGTAGGGGGGGCGGGGGGGGGTCCGTGCGCGCATCGTATGCATATGCTTATGTGCGCTCTCCAAGGCAGGCAGTTGGCGCCGGCAGGACGGGCAACAGTGATTGTAGTGTAGTGTCGACGGATAGACACCTCTCGCCGTTTTCTTCAATTTTGCTGGATGTCGACCCCCGTTGCCTGTACTACTTGCTGCAAGCAGCGGGAGTTTCCGGCTGCACAACAACAGAAAGCAGGTTGCTTGCCTCATAATTTTTGCCTACGGCCTCGCGACGCTTCCGCGAGTACACGTACAAACCCCAGTTTTGCCAACCCGACCTTCACCGACCTTCATGGGATGCTTTCGTGTGGAAGCGGCCCAATCCTGATTCCTGGTCACAACCCAAAGATCATCATCCGTGGGACTCCATACTAGTTCCAGCGCGTTTTTCGCCTCAGACTTTTGGTCTAGGCCCGTCATATTGATGCATGTCGTTGTTGCTGGTGCTGACGCCGCTATTCCCCCCCCCCCCCCCCCCGGTAGCCCCGAGGAGGCCGTGGTGTGGATGGAGAGCCTCTGCCGCGCCTTCCCGACGAACCCCAAGGAGGCCGAGGTGGCCCTCACCGAGCTGCACCGGTCGGACCACGCCGCGGAGGTGTCTAAGATCATACTTGGTGAGCCGAGGGAGTGTAGAACCGCCGTATATACCGTGGTACATGGAGGGTCTTCACCAAGGGTCATGTGGCGGCTTCTCTGAGTCCGTTTTTACGTTTTGCCGCGGGGTAGCCAACGTCAAGCTGAGCAAAGATTAAGATTACCACGGGAGGTGTAAGGAAGAGTTCGGGCAGGTGTCGCATTGCTTGGAACTTAGCCTCCGGGCGAACGTATGAAGGTTTTTTGCGTTTCAGGTCGTTTTCGGGAGGCGGTTTGTGCTTACGCTCGTAAAGTTGGTCCATCGTCCACGCATCCCTACAAGGCCGGGATGACGGACGCCATGTTTTCACCAGCCCAGGGTTGTGCGTTTCACACGGATGAACCAGGTATGCTGTCGTTTGCTGTGCCAAACCAGATATGCCATGGGTTGATTGGGCATCCCGGCCAACCAAACATTTCACATTCGGCAGGCACGACTTGCTTCAAGTTCGCAGTTTGTGTATTCCCGCACTTTTTTTTCGTCAATGCTGGTTGCCCCGCGTCTTGTCCCAGGGGGGGCAGGCTGCCCGTCACCTGCTGTATGTACGTCGACGCTTTTTTTCGTCGTTGTCGTTGTCTTTCTCTGCCCTACAGAGCGATCTCAGATGCCCATGGCGCAGTTCCACGCGCTGCTGGCCCTGCAGGAGGCGGTGCTGGCCCGGTGGGACTCGGTGCCTCCGGCGGACCGACGGGCTTTGAAGGGCTACCTGTGGGAGTTCCTCTGCCGCGAGTGGGCCAGGTAACGTTTGCGGAGGCTTTTTGAGGGAAGGAGGGAAAGAGAGAGGAGGGGGGTGTACTCATAGTCGTGCATGCTGTAGTCGTTAGACCATTGATCTCGCTCCCCTACAAAGCCGGGACGGAGCACGCCGGGTTCTCACCGGACCAGGCTCTCACATCGCCAAGCGCGAAGCACCGTGCGGTATTCGGCGAGTCGCATGAAGGGTGCGCTGCATCGTGAGGGAGGGAGGGAGCGGGAGATATATGTTGTATTAACAGGGAGTGCGAAGAACGGGTACACAGAAAACAAGAGAGAAAGACAGCGACAAAGGCAGAGAAGTCTGCCGAACAAAGTTTTTTTTTGGGGGCAAGGAAGGGGGGGCATAGGAAGGGCGAAGTGTGAGACGTGGAAGCGTTGAATGAGGGGACGTTTGGTCGAAGGACCTGCTGTTTTAAGGCAGCGGTGCAGCCTCAAGTTATGCTGCCGTCTAGTATGTGACTTTCCCGTTACCCAGAGCAATGCTGGGCTTGGGCCCGGAACTCACAGACTAGCGTAATTGAGGATTAAGCACGAGTTCTCCCACACGAAGCGGCAGTCAGTGGAGCTGTCTTGTGATACTTTTTTTCAGACCCGGGTGAAGAGCTTGTTGCTATTGATGGCAAGGGCCTCTGATCCCGATCGCCCTCTTGCCCCGTTCTCGCCGTCTCAGTGGCACCCCCTTCCCTCCCCTGGTGCACCGCTAAGCCTGCCGTCGGTGCAGTTTGGTCAATTCATTCCATGTGTCCGAACCTGAAGCATACATACACTCGTCGTACAAGAAAAGACACGCCAACAAGCGCGTTCGTTCATGCGCGCACCTGTACAGGCTGGAGCGGTCGGTGGTCTCGCAAGCGCTGCGCACGTTTTGCGTTTTCTGGAGGCGTGGCTGGTCCGCCGAGACGGAGGAAGCGAAGCTGTCGCTGTTTGCGCTGCTGCAGCAGGGGGCCTCCGAGGGGGGCGCCGCGGCAGTGAGTTATCCCCCCGTCCCCCCGGCTCTCGGCTCTTTACCTGGGGGTTCGGATTGCTTGCTTCCGCAGTATAGCTGCCTGCTGAACTGCTTGCGTGTTGCCATTGGTGATGCTTCTGTCTCTCGTCGTTGTCTCTTTCTTGACAATGCCTCTCTGTCTGCTTTCCCGTCTGTTGGTGTGTCGGTGGCCCTGAACGAAACACGAGAACGAGATTTGAATCTGGGTTTGGTGTTTGTGTCAACTCCTGCCTCCAGCGTTTGTGCGTTCTTTGTGCGTTGGCTTTTTGGTTTCGTGTCTTGAGTAGTCTGTTTTACTCCATTCCCATATTCCCACACACACACGTGCCAACTTTGGTGTGTCCTCCAATGTGTGCTCCAGAATCGAATTCTTCTTCTTTACTCCGGGAACGCGTGGTACACAGTGGTTCATAGTGGACTCTGAATCCTTGTTCGTTTCCGTTGCACGTCGTGAATAGCGTTCGTTTTTTCAAGACCCTTTTTTCGGGACACCGGCGTCCCGCATGGCACTCCGCTTTTTAACTCCCCAAAGCCCGACTTAAAAACGAGACCCCCTTTTTCATTCATCCCCCCCTCGCCGTCACCCCCTCACGCTCGCGGGGCCCCTTTTTCACTCATCCCTTCCCCGCCACCTCCTCACACTCGCTGCGCCCCTTCTTCGCTCGTCCGTTCCCCGTGGCGCCTATCTGTGCGCGCCCGATCACGAACGAAACCTCCTCCCTTTTAACTTTTGAATAGCTGCGAAGCGCCAAGGCCCTGTTCTCCCTGGTGTCCGAGTTCAGCTCAACGCGGGCCACCGCCCTCGGGCTCCCTTTGGAGTTCTTCCGCGCCACACACGCGGCCTTCAACAAGCTCGGGTTAGATCAGGTCAGGAGAGGGGGAGAGAGGGAGAGAGAGACAGAGAGGTAGAGAGAGTCAGAGAAAGGGAAAGGGTTGTCTTCCGGCTAGCCTAGCAAGTATTATAGATGGTTCGTTCGTGTCGGGCGTTATCTATTACTAGGAATTTTAGGGTAATCTCGTCTCGATAATAAGTTTTGTCTTGTGTCCCCACCGTCGTAGTCTGTCGATATCTCCGCTGCTCTTTCGATCGATATCGCCCGGTCGCCCCAGTACTCTCTTGGATAAAACTAACCGTCCCTCAATCACAAAGCCCCCCGCGCGCGCTTCACGTCGTCTGCCAACGCTTTGCTGCTGGAAGAGCCTGGCGCTCTCGATGGAGCTCCTGGGAGAGACGGTTAAGGCCGTAGCTACGCCGGAAGCCCTGTCGGATACGTCGGTGCTGGAGCTGGTGACGACGGTCGTTAACGTGTGCGCGGAGGTGCTGTCGTGGGAGTTCAAGTACGTGGAGGCGTGGCAGATACCGCCGGCGCAGCAGCTCATCCGGCCGGGGCCTCGGTGGCGGGCGTACCTGGTCCGGCCGGACTTTCTCGGAGCCGTGTTCAACGTCTACCATCGGGTGCGTGTGTGGGGAGAGACGTTTTGTTGGAGGCGAAGGATTGCTCGTCGTTGTTGTTGTTGGCGGCGGTGGTTGTTGTCGCTGTTGCTCGAGACAATAAGAAGATGTACATTGGAAGAACGCCGCATTTTCCTGTGTTGTTGTTGTTGCTGCTGCTGCTGCTGCTGCTCGCGATAACAACGCCTACATGAGGTAAACACGCCGCCGTTCCCCCCTCTAACAGGGCATCAACACCGACCGAAGATCAAGACACCACACCTTACCGCTCACACAGACAGCGCTTAACAAAGCGCAAGCAGTATTTACTCCCATCAACTGTACCCCCCCCCCCCCGTTTTGCCGTTTTTGCCGATTCCTCTGTGTACTGCTGTACTGTACTTCCCGTCGCTTCGCTGTGCTTGGACAGCACACACATCGCTCACGCACCAGTTGCCCTGCCGCTGCACTGCTCGCTCACGCTCTCCCCGCTCGGTCTCGTCACCACTGCCTGCTTCTCCCCACTTTTTGCGAAACACACACACATCACATCAACGCACGTGCTCCGGCGCTGCGCACGCCGCCAAAGGTCCGTCTTCGCGGTACCGCCGGCCCCGGTGGCACCCTGCCCCACGCCCTGCGGCAGCTGCTGCTGCAGCTGTCCTCGGTGCACGGGGACATTTTCGAGAACGACGACCAGCGTAAGGCCTACGCGTCTTTCCTCGTGGAGGGAGCCGCCGCCGTCCTCGCAGCACCCTTTTCGTCCGCGGGTGAGGGACGAGATACTGGTATTAATGGGAGTTTAGTCAAGATTTGTCGTCCGCGGGTGAGGGATGAGATACTGGTATGAGGAGAGTTTAGCCAAGATCTGAGCAGAAACTAATTGGAGTTGAGTCATGATTTAGGCCGTCCTGATAGAAGTTTAGCCATGATTCTAACTGATGGCAGTATTCATGGAAGTTGACGGCGTGTCGATAGCAATGATTTCATATCGTATTGATGGGAGGTTGAGCGATAGATAGGCAGAAGAGCGATGATTTAACAATTGCATCGATTAGAAGTTGAGGGGCGGTGTGTACTGTAGATAGTAATGTATTCCAAATGGAGCGATTGTGGTGTAAAATGCATTGATGAGAGCTGCAGAAACAGCGAACCCCCATCCGTTGTTGTGCCACGCGATGTCCTCAGCGTTCGGTGTTAACTCGATCTGAATGTCGTCGACCCTTCGGCCGCGTTTGGCAGGACGTAAACACGCCTCCTTTCTGTGGTTTGCACGCAACAGGCACAATGTATCCGTACCCTCTATTTCTCGAGCAACGATTTCTGCAGGAAGAAATACACGAGACTTGATGCCACCAGAACGGTGTTTCGCGACCCGATATTCTCGGGCACCAAACGCAACTGTTTTGGCGGGCAGAAAAAACACGGACTTGTTTCTTTTGCTTTTTCGCACCAGAACGACGCGATTTTCTCGAGTACTAATCGCGTCCCAACCCTCTGCCTGCACCACGATAACCATCGGCCGCTGGCGGTACGCGTGCACACACGCAGGCGTTCGTCAAGAGGGGGTGCATCAAGGGGCGGCGGAAGCTGCGGCGGAGGAGGCACAGGCGGACGAGTACATCGGTATCGCCAGGTATGCCGCTTTTTTTTTTTTTGGGGGGGGGGTTACGTGTTGCTGGAGGTTGTGCGACTGGTGTTGGTGCTGCTGCTGCTGCTTTGTGGTCGATGTCTTCATCTTAAGAGACGTAGTCTATCCTGTACTTGGTATGTGTTAATCGCGTTTTGTGTTTTTGCGTGTGTGGGGGGTTATTTTGCTCATCATTCGCGTGGCAATGTCACCGGCGACGAGAAACACTCCATGATATGAAGTTTGCCGAGTCAACCGCTGAGCCCCTGTGAGAATTGTTAAAATCAAGTTGTTGTAATACGGAGGAGTGAATGTTTCTGTTTCGTGACCCTACCTTTCGTTTCTCCTAATTTTTCTCCTCGCTGTTTCTTCGTTTTCGTTTCGTTTCGCTTTTTTTTTTTTTTTGTCGTACTTGGATGTTGTTCCGCCACCTCTTCTTCTTCTTCTTCTTCTTCTTCTTCTTCTTCTTTTGCGTGATCGCTACCATCGAACAGCATGGCGGTGCGGCTCGTGTCCAACTTCAAGCTCTCTACCCTTGGCCAGCTAGACTCCTTTGCGGCGTTCGCGCAGCACCTAGCCGCTCTGAGCTCGAGGATGCTGCACGAGTCGAAGGCCCTCGCCGGACGAGATGTGCGTTGCTCCTGGTTGTAGTGATTGGTGCAGTGCATAGCTACGTGTGTTTTTGTTCACTGCGAAAGAACGTTACGACGATTCGAAGATAACTCATGAACGTCTTCTAAGTTATAATTAGGTTGTTGCCTACAACTTCCATTATACTTGGTAACTCTTCACTCCAGGCGATTGCGATTGTCATGTGTTAGTAGGTAAAGCTAGCTTAGAATAGCATCCTCGTCGGGGCTGCTGTCTTTATATACCCATTTTGTTATTGTTTTTGGTGTTTTACACCTGGGCCTGTTATCTTCTTGTCGGCACTTTTGGTAACTGCGGCCCCGCACTACATGAGCCTGTTTTATCATTGTCGGGGCATTTTTCGTTGACTGCGGGCTTCACCCGCCGTACATGAGCCTGTTCTATTATTGTCGGCATTTTTCATTGACTGCTGGCGTAACCCGCACTACTAGGACGATGAGGACGTCGGGTGGAGGAGGGAGACGTTCGCCCTCCTGCTGGAGGCGTGGGTGGCGATGGCGGAGGACTTCGAGGTTACTGGCGGGGAGAATCAGGGCATGAGGAAGGGCATGCAGGATGCCACCTTCCCGCTGTACGAGCAGTACCTCGAGCACGAGCTGACGGTCAGGTGCTAGACTACACCATTGCCGCTATTGTGGCCCTGATGGGTACAGTATCCCCCAAACGTTTGTCGAGGACGATTGGTGATCTCTTTTCACGCCGGTGGCCATTTCATATATCCACCCCACAGGGGGGAAAACTTCGGTATATGCGCACGGTCGTGTGTCGTACAAGCAATGGTTGAAGGCGGACACATGTCTGCGCCGCGGGCTTTCGCAAGGGACTTCTGCGTATTTGACGTATTTGGCGCGTGTACACACACCCACATACGCCCCCACGGGGTCCTAGATCATGAAGAATGTTCTGTTTTCTGCCGCACTGAGACTGACGCTTTTCAATGGTCACCCATTTGGCGAGGTCGATGCTAGCGTAGTATGAGACACCCCCACTTACCGCGGGCTCTGGCGACTGGTGTGTGATGGAGGCTTTTGACGCATTGAGTGCTTTGACATGTCTTTACACGTTTGACGTGGTTGATGTGTTTGATTTGGTCGACCTATTTGATGTGGTTCGTGTGTTTGGCGTTGTATACTTGGTTTTGACGTCTTTTGACGTCTTTCGACGTCTTTGGCGTCTTTGACGTGCTTGGCTGCGTTTGGCGTTGTTGACACGGTTTCGACACGTTTGACGGCTTTGATGCGTTTGACACGTCTGACGTGGTGCAAGCAGTCGTGTCGAGGCGGAGGCAAGCGTGGGGCACGAAGAGGACGACGAAGAGGAGGAGATCGGGGCCGCGGACAAGGACGAGCAGATGTGCTCCGCCGCCTGCCTGGGCCGGCTGAGCCTAGCCCGCGCCCTCGCCGCCGTCGATGTCCAGGTAACGTTTGACGATATCGGCGGGAGCTGAGGTTGCTGTGGTGGTCGTGTTGTTGGTAGTGGTACAGCAGTAGTGGTACAGCAGTAGTGCTAACCGCATCGATGGTTGGGTCGAGTGTGCCGTTTTTTCGTTAATTGATTGTCGTTTGTGTCTGTCCCTCTACAGGCAGTATTGAGTGTCATCTGGGTTTTCGATTTTTCTCAACAGTTTTTCAGGTATATGTACATCGTACATATCTGTGCATATGTATGTGCCTTGAGGTACTGTTATCTTCTCAGTTCGCCCTACCTGGCACAGACGCATGAATCAGCTTTGTACATCTATTGGTAAGCTCCCGGATGGAGGTTTCTCTCAACGTCTACCCCCCCCCCCCCCCCCCCCCCCCCCCCCCCCGCCTTCCCCCCCCCCCCCCCCC